TGCTTCGTGAATCCACCATTGTAGGTAATTTCTCAGATGGCATAGTACTCATCGTATGTAATGTAATGAGGTAATTCGGCTTAATACAAAGGCATTTAGAGATTGTCTATGTGAAATAAATTCAGATATTTCCAAGTGTTTCTTAGCTTAACTTTTATTTCTTTTATGACATAGAAATTTTAGAGCAGTATTCAGTTTAAGATAAACTTTTATTTAAATCTAGATCTCAGTGGTGTATTCGTGAGAACTTTCGATTGCTACATTTAAATTATTTAGAAATGATACATCAGTAACTTACAGTTGTCGGTGTTACAGGTGAAGGTTTTTGTTTCATGTGAGGCGTCTTTTCAAATGTTCTTTAAAAACAATATTGATTAACATTATTTTGCTAAATATTTTCGCTTACGTCATATTTCTTAATTTGTTCAGTTTACTTTCTTTGTAAAGCTACAAAAAGAATATGCACAAATGAAAATTTGACGGTGTTTTTCATAGTTTTTTATAAAAGTGAACAAATAATTACGAGGAATCTTTTCAGTTACCTTGAAATAGATTGTGTTGGAGATTCATCATATATCTTACTTTTATTCTTCCTACTGATAACAAATGGTGATGGCATCAGTTGTGTCTTCATTTGTCCCAATTTCATATCAATTTCAATCTGAGTTATAATAATATCGTATATATTATATATTTGAATTAATCATAATTAGATAATACATGTAATGATGAAGGATAAAAATTATTGATTTTTTTCTTACTTCGTTTCACCATTATTAACATACCATATAAGCAAGAATGGTAATCGGTGGGAACGGTCCTTGTGCAGTAATGCGGAGCATTTGTTGTGTCCTGATATCACCACCTTTTTCTAGTAAATTCTCTAATCCGCTTACTTTCCAAATTTTATCATGAATTACTCCATGTACCAGCCATCTACGTTGTGTAGACTGTAATTTAAATTTGTAATCATTTGATGCGACAAAGAAGAATTAAAACTGCTAATTTCTCTTCTTTTTCTTTTCCAGCACGAATTTGTAGCCTTAACGTAAAAAAATCAAACACTCATAAAACTGATTTTTATAAAGTAGCATTAAAGCCTCAAATAATTATGAATTTTATAAAAAATTTGAGTTTTTAAACATAAATTCAATATAAAAACCTCCTCCAAAATTGCACGCATTTTACGAACCAAAAAATCACACAGGCGATCTTGGGCATTATCAGTTAGTTTGACTTGAATATGTTTAAATTCTTTAACTTCTTGCAAAGCATTCTATAACAGCTGGAAGTGTTAGTCGTTTTTTGTAAACTTTTCTAATGTAACATTTTGAAAATTACAGTAAAGTTGTACAACATTTGATATCTTAAATTCACTTAAATTTTAATGTTGCATGCTAACTTTAGTTGATAAGGAAGCTCTAATTCAAATTTACACAAATTTAAATAAATTTATGGTGATGAATAATTTAGACAAACTTCCTTTCAAGGTCATATAGAGCATACTTTTATTCTGCTTATTATAAAGATATGTTGAACATACAATACATCTTTATGCGTTTATAAAATTCACATCTAAATTTAACACCATTTTTTACCATCAAATATGCAAATTTCATCATACCTGAAGTATAGAGATAAATTCGAATCCACGTGCTGTCAAATCGATTTCCAGCGTGAAACGAATAATATTAGCATCCGCTGCAGTTATCTCTTTTTTTGTCAATGATTCAATTTGTTCTCTATAAGAAAATTAACTGTATGATGAAATTTATCATCTAATTTATTTTAAATCTATATTGAAAAGAAAGGAAAAAAAAGAACGAATTACTAACGAAATAGCCTTCTTCCTTCGTACCATTACTTTAACACCGCTAGCATTTGGTGTAGTTATCGTACCAACGTCAACTTCCGCCGTACGATCCGTTGATTGTACGATATGAAGCTTAAAATGTTATATGATCATTTTCACCTTTTTATTTTTCATTTAATTTTATTGTTAATATGTTCTTTAAGTTAAACAATGCATGAATTCATTCAATTTGCAAGTAATTAATTATTACCAGGTTATTTTCGGACAGATATAATTAGACAAATTGAAAAAATTATTGACGGTGTAATTTGTTTGGCATCCTATTTGTTAAGCCATTTTTCTTCTTTCATCCCATATTTAGAATAATGTAAATAATATAATCTGAAAATGGCTAATTCATACTTCTTCGGTATTTTTACCCATAACAGCTCCTTCATGTTCCATTTTCTCCTCTTCTGGAATATCTTCAAAATCTTCACGTCCATAAAATGTCTGCAGAAGTAACAAATGATTTGTTTAAGCAGACGGAAGCATTAGAGATTATTTGATGTAGTAAAACTTCAGAATTCACTTTAATCTTTAAATTTAAATCAAAATACTTGCACTAGCTAGTAGAGTTCGAACCAATAATTAAATCGAATCCAATTCTTTAGCTTTTGATTATAGTTGCTAATTTAGGAAGGGAAAAAAAAGCAGTATTTAGCGAAATTCATACTTCATTTCAGCATTGATTCTCAATTTCTTTCTCTATGCATTATTTAATTAATAAAAATTAAAAAGCTAAATGCATAATTCTTTTCAGCTTCAAGATAAATTTATTCTATTTTCCTTTGCTATTTTATTTGTGCTAATAGAATTTTTATTAAAAACCTTTTTTCGTTGAGTTTCTCGGGCGATATAGGCAATGACAACAATGATAAATTCCACTAATGCTATCAAGAAAGCAATCAGTTGAGGTGTATATGCTGGAAGGCTATCGATAGCATATTGACATGTTGCCATGATATTGGATGATTAAGTGTTAATAATTATGCGCATACTATCAAATTATGAACTTAACTACAAGAAATGAAATTATAATGGTAATAGCAGACCGACCGACTCCGCTAGCGATAAAAATGGAAAATCGGATCTAAATCTGAATGTGAAATTGCGCTATGACAACATTGTCATAAATCTGCTCGAGTTATCAAGATTTGAAATCCTTACCTCTTTTTTTAAACTTAAATTTTACATACTTCGATAGCTTCTCTTCTTGAACAATTAAATGATATTGTAAGTAAGGAAAGATAATAAAGTTGTCAAATTATTTTTAATAACCAAAGACTGGGAAAGAATTGTCAATCTTTAAAAAAGAGTAATTTCAATTTTTTGAGAAGTGCTTTAAAAATATTTTCGGGGAATTTATGAATATACCAGAGGAATAAGGGACAACCAACGAGAACAATAACATTACTTTCTATCCCAATTCTAATAATTATTCTGTTCAATATCCAAATCATCATTCTGAGAATATCCTTATTACATAGTTTTGTTTACGTTTAATATCATGCTAATCGTTTATTCCGTCTTATATTTTGGAAACAAGACATGAAAATTTCCCAGAGTCATGAAACGTATACTACATCATAATAGAATAGAATGAAGCTCAGCAATTGGAATGGTATCATTTTTTATCAAAAAGTAAATAATCAGTATTATTGAAGGAATGAGAAAGATTACAAGTATGATTACGGATTTGAGAGAATGAGCAAATACATCGGAAAAGCAACATAACAAGAGATTTTTTTTTCAAATTTTGCCCACATTCTGGAGTTTACCCGGAGCAATACTAATAAAAATGGTAACTGTAACAAGTTAAAAAAAAGTGTGTTTTCTAATCTGCAAATAGTCTTTCTAAAGAGGTTTGGAATTTATGGTTAATACGGTATAGATTTACTAATTTTCAACTTACACAGTAATTTACGTTTTGTAAGAAAGTGAATTATCTAAAACTCTGTTGTCTTTTTTTTACAATTTAGCGTATGTCTTTGGGTTGTTTCCAACCCGTAAATTCTAAGATCAACTAGAGATTTCTTGATAATTCCATAAAATGCCGAAATAGCTCAACAAAAAACTGAAAACCATGGTCATTCTCGTCCTTAATTTCGAATTCCCAGTATCAGAAAATACGAATCAATTAAAATTAAGAGAGGTAGATATACATATTGTTATAATCAACAGAAATGCTGTAAGCTATCTTTGTGATTTTTCATAAGGCTCCTCCGAGTTCCATTCTTCAGTGCGAATCATTTTATCATCAACGTTGCTGTCGCCTACCATAGCCTCTCCATAATTTTGAAGCACACCGTCTTCAGAAATAAAATTATTCTTCGTTTACAATAAATCTGTGATAAAGGAAGCTTAAAAAAATTTCTTCGAGTTCATGTTACGATCAAGGCTTTTTGTCAAGATAGAAAGAGATCAAAATGTCAATCACTATCGTCATCATCCAAAAGCATTCCTTTTTCCTTCAAAAATTCCATCATTGTCTGAAATTTTAGTAAAATATTGTAGTCATTAAAGAGATATTTCTTGCAAATTGATTTTGGACAACCATAATGCACTTTCGCATAATAAAACAATGATCATTTTATTCGATAAGATGTTAAATATTTAAACAGCAAAGGTTTCTCGATGATCATTAAACTGCTAGTCTAACTCGCAGAAAACCCATAAATTTATCTTCCCCAAGATCATTACCAGCATTGCGCTACATTTCAATATACCGCATCTCTCGATGATAAAACAATGAACTGTTTCTTAATACATTGATAATCTGTCGATTGGTGCAATTCCTATAACTACTTCATTTAGTAACAAAAAATGCAAGTCACCTTTTCTTCCACAGCCACTGATATGTATTCATTGCCATCGCTGTGACGCTTTCGTACGATAAGACGATGATCATTATATTCATTAAGATGTTGCCGTAATGCTGCATCTGTCGAAACAAGAAATTCATCCCTAAAAACGAGATAAGTTCAATAAAATAATAAAAAAAACTGAATCTATTCGAATAATTAACCCATTTTGAAATAGACCATTTTTTACTCTCATTCAGACAACATCAAAAACATAGTCTTATAACAGAAAAGAGAGCAACTGAGAGAAATCACCTGGCCAAATGAAAGAGCTCAAAAAACTCCAGTGGTTTCTTCTTACGATAATAATGATTGGCGATAAGCTGAAGCAATGAGCGAGAATTATTTGTCAACGACATCCAGACCACATCCAACGATGCAAATGTATGCATATATCCCGAACCTTTCGGGTTCAGTCCCAACAGTTTCGAATAGCCAGCAAACACTTCGGCTTTATAGGCTTGCATGGTATTTACATTGATGAAGAGAAAATTGAATGCATTCAACAATTTCTGAAATATATGAATAAAGAAAAATTTTCCTGTTGTTTCTATTTTATAAGCCCAAATTCTTCTAAAAAATGAAAAAAGTAATAAACATGACAGAAAAATATTAAAATAAAAGAAAACATAAACCAAACAATCAAAAATAATATAAATTTAAAAAAAAAACCTGAGTCCACAACAAGCTTTTATTGACGTGATCAACAGAGGCAATGATATGCGTATGTTTAGCTTTTGCAAATTCCGCTAGAGCCCATTGTTCAAGTGTTGCCCTGCAATTTAATCATATTCACCACATAATTAAAATGCTTGATCCTAAAAAATAGGAAACCCTTTTTCATCTCATTATTTGATTCACGAACAATTAAATTATATAATAAATAAGGACAAACCTCAATCCAGGTCCATCAATATTATTCAATACGAGAACAACATCCTCCTTTTTGCTATCAATTGCATGACCAACGGCTCTTGCATATTCCAGTTGATTTTTGCTCATAACAACTACTTTTAATGATAAATTTTCTTCCAAACACTGTAAAATCATTTTTTTCCTTTATCCATAAATTAGCTTAATTATATCAGTTTCAAATCTTCAAAAAAAAGTATCAGGATGATTCAAAAGCAAAAAAAATCGCGAAAATAAAAGACAATGTCATGTAATCAATTAGTGATAATACTGAAATGAATGGCGCTATCTTACTACCCAATGATAGCTGTTAGCAAAAATTGTATCGCAATTCTAATTACTATTAAATAACACTTCTCCCGACATAGCAATAAGATTTGGAGGGATAAAATAACTGTTAACCTGAAATATAATGTGTGAGTTAACCGAGGGTTGAAAACCATCAACGGCAATATATGTATAATCTTGCAATGTTTTTTCGCAGAAACTTTGCATAAGTTTCCGCTTTGAACCTAATCCAAAGATCTGAAATTGGCAGCAAATTAATCATAAATGTGTAAAAGAAGAGATAAGAAGAAATTAAGATAATCAATGGTAAGAAAGCAACCCACTTCAGTTTTGCCTTCAGTACTGCAAGTCAACCAGCAATGTCAACGAACTTATATCATAAAGGATTGCAATATTCTACTCAGTTTAAGATTAAACAACCACCACATTTTATCCATATTCAAATCTTTGGTTTCCATAGAAATAAGTGGAAATTTAGCAAAACCCAGTAGATCGTTTATTAATTATAATCATAATTTACTGAATATTATGCTTAATAACGCAAAAAAATCTGTACGATTTAACCACAATCGTTGTTTTTGCAAATGAAGCTAAAATATGTTCAAAGTAACGTAGCGAACTAAAAGAAATAGGCATGCAATACAACAATCTAAACTTACAATGAGATTAAAACCAGCTGCTAAGTACGTTAACCAACGGGGAAACAAGCGCTCTGCGTTAGAACATTCTCGAACAACGCCACGAGGAAGATAATCATCACATCTCTACAAAAAAATTGATTTATGTTTTTTTGCACTGTTTAATTAATTTTCCACGAAAATCGTCTTTGCCATCAGCCAATAAAAATATTATAAAATTGAATCTCGTAAAAAATCAGTGATTTAGAAAAATTTCACTAGACCTCATTGAAATGAGATTTTTCTTGCTCTAATAATATGTATTTTTAAAAAGATTAGAAACTATGAAATTTTCATAAATTCTGAAGAGCAAAATTCGAATACTTACTTCAAACCAATCTGAGAGTAGATGCAAATCGCATTCAATTGTATCGCAGCGACCGTCTTCTCCGTTATCTTCCTCACCTTGTTTTCGTCTATAAAAAAAGAGCAATATTCGGATGTTTCGTCTGAAAACGTTCACCTTTGATCTTAGCTACGAATTAAATGATGAGAAAATAAGAAATGACATTTAAAGGAAGGGACTTTTTGAGAAATATACTAAACTATGTTTGGAGAAATAAGAAAGAATGAAGGAATATTTTTACCCCTATTTTTCTCAGCAGAATTTGAATCACAAAAATGCTCTACAACTATACAAAGAGCATTCAAGATCAAGATGACCAAAAGTCTGACAAATAACATGAAGGAGAGCTGTCGCTCCGGTATGAGCACTACAAATATACTCTCTTAATGTTTAAATTGATTTGAATGTCATTCCATTCGATGAAAATCGAGGGAAAACTGAAGAAGACTCATGAAAAGCGACATATCTTTGTGTCAAATCTCAAAAACAGTAAAAAACATAAAAATCACTTTTTTCGCCGTGTACGATCATTAGCACGACAAAACTTTAATCTTCCTTGATTGAAATAATTGTCAATTGCCGTTCGATGCCTCAGCAATCCATCCAGTTCATCCTCGTATTCCGACAAGCTTCCATTTTGTTCTTCCTCTTCTCCCGATAACTCATCTTCAGCATCTTTTTCCTCTTCTTCATCCACTATCGATGATTTTTTCTTCATTATTAATATATTATTTCTTTTCTTGGCATTTTTCTTCTAAAAAATAATTTTAAATATTTTGTCATTATTTAATTTAATAAATCTGCCCTGAATTTAAATGTGCCCTATTTTATTGACACCTTAATTTGAAAAGTTTGAAAGAGACTAATCTTCTAATTCTAATCAATCGTATAATAATATCGCTGCGTTAATATTAAATCGAAGCAGCACAAGTAAAATGTTGCGGAACTGAAGTGATTGATACAAGATAGAAGAGAGTAATGCACACATACAAATTCACTTCAACAAGTTAACAAAACTACCCGCTCCCGGGTGGGCTTGAACCACCAACCTTTCGGTTAACAGCCGAACGCGCTAACCGATTGCGCCACGGAAGCCATTGCTGTCATGTCAACACCATGTTTAATGTGTATTTAACTTTTAGCTATTTGCACTAAACATTGAACTACAAAGATGAATTTCAGAAAAAGTAACTCTGAAAGCTGTAAGTCAGAAAGCGTAAGATTGCAAAATTGACATATATCAGAAAAAATCCAACATTTAAGTCCTAAAATTATCTCGAAAATAACAAAATTCTAGAATTATACCGCGGAAAATGATTGGATTTTGGAAGCATAAAGAATAAGTGAAAAAATAGCTGAATTCATGAATTACTTACACATATTAAAATAGGATATCAAAACCTTTGGATGAGAAAAAAGAAATTATGATGCTATATCGGAATGACTTTTAGAAATATATATCATGCTGAAAAGAAAATTTCAAAAATTCTAAATCTCAATAAGGATTTATCACTGATATCAATGACTAGTTAAGTTCAATAAATGTGTTACATGTTTGTAATATGATATAATCCTCAAAATCTAATAGAAACAAGAAATTTCACTAAAAAGTTAATTTTCAAAAATCCTTTTCCTTCCAATAATATTCAAATTCAATTCTTTTCTTTATATTTATGAAATACGAAATATGAAATATAAACTTTGTACTTAAGAAATATAAAAAAACGTTGCCTGGTCATACTCCAGCATTGAAGAAAATTCATAACAATACAAAACCAAACGAAATATTAACAAAAATAGAAGAGTTCAGCTAACGAAGCTTTACTTCCCATTATTTTAATATTACTCATTTAAAAAAAGTCATATTTACCTATGGATTGTTCACTTAATGCTTATGAATTTAGCAGAAGATAAAAAAATATATGATTAACGACAATAAGGCATAACTTCTATGGAAAAAATTTGTATAATACAAATCAGATAAAATATAGATAAAAAAGCATACCTTCGAATTCCTGGTCCGTCTATCAGATGTCTCAGCTGATGACAATCGACCAGTAGAACGGGCGCTTCGATGCGGCGAAGGCATCTATGTAAATTTCTGATTTCTATGTATCTGAAAACAAAAACAAATTTCAACTAATCTATATTCTTCATCCTTGACATCGGGCTCATCTCATGTTGTGTTCATCTTTTCTCTGTAACGAAAAGATATCAAAATATACATTACCTTACCCGTTCGAATCAAAAATATTTAAAATTATTCTTTCTTTCTTTTCCCTTCTGATCAATCGTAAAAACGAATCCACTGTAGAGGAAAATCTCCCAAATAAGTTCCGATAAACCAAATGTGTTCAAAATTTTATTAGGAAAGATAAATCCGTGACTATTTTATTTGCACACTTTCCCGATCTGTGAAAAGGAATATAAAACAGGAAATTAATAAATTGAACCGTTTATATTTACTTGAAATAAATACAATCAAACAGACAATTCAAAAAAGAAAAATAACTGGTATTTATCATTCTTACATAATATAACAAATCTTAAATCTTTCCAATCACTTTCTCAATTACCATGATTATTAAAGAAATTTTAACAATAATAAAACCCTTATAATTACTGAAAACTAATCGTTAAAAATAATTTGATGCAAAACGGATCACTGCTGTATGTGAGCAGTTCAAGACAGAGAGAAGTCTGAAACAATTTAGCTCAGAAAAAGAATACATCTGGGAACGAGTGTGAAATAGCTGTGATACATCCTAGTATTAATCACATCGGCACATTGAAGGATAAAATAATAACTAAAAAAACTAAATTCTTGAAAAAATCGCTTGAAAAAGAATGGGGAGGCGAGCAAGAGTAATGCCTAATTAAAACAAGAGTAAAAAAAACAAACTTCATCAGCCTGACCACGTAACCACTTTTTATAGTAACAAAAAGGGAACGATTTAAGATGTAAACAATTCAAACGGATATTCTCTATACAGTGATTCAAAATTTCATTAAAAAATTAGACGATGTTTTCTAAATTGTTGCTATAAAAAAATAAAAAACAAAGAATACTACAGAGTTGCCTCAGTTAAAATCTTTTTCCTATCTCGACAGCATGAAATAAGTCTCCTCTCGCAAATATTTTTAGAAATAATTGGGTTGCTCTGGGATCAAACATGAATACATTTCTGTTTAATTCCAGATAATAAAGAGTAGCCATAAAATTATTCAATCAAGAAAGAAAAAATTAAAAAGGAAAATAACCCATCACCATAGATATGTTTGCACCATGTGCGTGTGAACAACTTCAGCGCCATCAATAACTACACAGATACTTCAAAATTTGTCTTTCCTTGTTTATTACTTCAAAAGAGACCATTTCAGTTGCTCCTTTGCCGAACCAATTAACTGAAATATTTTGCGCATTATCTACAATGATTTGAAACCCGCTCCCATGTCAGTAGAATATAAATATGATTGCGGCCCCTTTAAGACGAATTTTTAGCAGGTTCATCTGAAGTAATGACTACACAGTTTCATTGACACATGCATGGCTTTACCGATAACAAATAACATAAACGACAATAGCAGAACCGATCTAATTTTCAAATATGGAGCAAATAAAATAAAAAATGAGATGTTCTGACTATTTAACACACTCCATATCCAAATTTTCTTTACCAGAATTTTAGAATAGCAAAAAACAATACACTGTGATCAAGTACGTATAAGACCCACACGAACAAACCCAGTGCACAACTAACACTGTTCGCACTTCAGGATTATAAGACTTCACTCAGTCCTGTTGATGAATGTTCAATAAATTGAAAAAAAAAATGCCCATTTTATTGGCAGTGCAAGCACCTCAAAGACATGCAACATGCAAATGCGACCAACATGCAATATCATTTTATTTTCATCGCTTAAATTCCTACCTATAGTACCTTAACCTGTGGACTTCTTACTTCTTATAAAACTGACTGATCTGAATATTGAAATGTAATAAATATTCGATTTAAAATACAGACCATATCTTGTACTCTTCCAATTTCATACGTAAGGTAAAAGTGGTGATCTGAATTTTAATAACACAGAACTGCTCTAATTGCTGTTCTGAAGCACATATTACAAAAAGTATAATTAAAATGATCTATGAAAATCAGAGAGAAAGTTTCTCTAGTTGTTACTTTTCTAATTTGAATAAACTAAGTCATTCGTCACAAAATGTTAAATTTGTCAATGTCAAAAACAAAGCATGAAACTACGCACCGTCGAAAAAGAAGTGATAATAAAGAATAAAAAAAATATCAGCTTCATTGCTCCACCAACATATGCATCTTAATGAGCACAAAGAGAAAGTTCGAGAAGTATATTTCAAAAAAATAAATTCACGAAATTCTTTCTAATGCGAGGAGAGAAACTAACTCAGCACTTAATTCATCTCTTAAAAACAACTTTTAGAGCTTGTATGAGGGATGCATCTCATTACAGGCAAATGAGACCGTTATGTGATCAAGTAAAAAATTCCCTTTCAACAAGCAAAAGATCAGTTATTGGAAGGTAGTGATAGAAAAATCCTAAATCAAACAAATGGTTAATGATTCTTTAAGTTGTTGACCAGTCGTTTGACTTGAATCCTTTTTCAAAGAAAAACTATTACACAATAAATATTTGACATTACAGCATGCATTGCCATGAGTCACACCAAAATATGAACTATATGGAAAAGATTGCTTTTTAAGACATGCGTACCGACATTCCCACTTGAGAGATGCTTTGATCACCAAATGTCAGTTCATCGGTTCGTAGGGCACAACGACTTACAACAGCTTGGGGTTCTGTTTCCATTAAAACACTGTAAATAAATATAATGCTATAAAACAATGATTAATTTGACTTACAGAATTGAAATTACTTAATAATTTCAATTCCAGCTGCCAACTTATCTAACCATGAGTATAAAAATAACTTTCTGGTGTCTCAAAATAGTCACCGAGAAATGAAGTATAAGGTGGAACTGCGAATGACTGCTCTCATGTATTTATTAAATAGTAAAAAAAGCAAAAACTAATAAACTGAATTTAAGACCATCTAATATTCATGTATTTTAAAAACTAAGTAAAGCTGTCAGCAATCGTCTTTTACGATCGCGAAATTTGCCAAAGCCCCTGTCTTTTTTCTAGTTATTTCTGATACAATCATTGAGGTTTCAAATGAAATGGTTCTGAAGTTCCAATTATTAAAAATCCTTACAAGCTTGAAACGCAGCCCTACCTGTTTTAGTATAAATTTTCAGAATACATATAAATTTGATAGCATTTCCAAGAGTAATGATCTTTCTACATTTGTACAGTTCATAACAAGCCTTTGAGTGGAAATAGTCAATTCCATTTATGATAGTGGTACAATAGTTCTTGTTTACATATTATAGTGAAAAAAAAGTAAAAAGTAATTTACAAACCCATTATCACAAATTTCATCGATAATCAACATAGCAATATCCATATCATCGATAAGTGCCTTCTTTTCCACATTTTTTCGAAGTACTAATGAGATCGAATCGTACAAACAGTTGAGAGCGGAAACAAGGATCAATTCGTTCTCATCTGCATCACCCATTACGTAGAAAAATAGATCAACATTGCTCCGATATACGCAAATCATTCCATCCAATAAAATTATTTCGGCTGCAAAATGGATAAAAATTGCAAGCATTGATCCAAGGACTTTTTTAAAAAAAGGAAAGTAGATGTAAAGTCTCGATAACCCGTGAAAAACTATTCAGTCAAACAGAGTAAATTTCCAATTGGATGAACCCAATTGGAAATTTCCTAAATAAAATCTCCAGCATCAATTATACATAAACAAGAAGCAACAGAAATCTACGGTGAAACTTTACCATTTGCTTTGGATGTTTTCTGGAACAAGCTTTTCTCAAAAGCTTTCTGCTCCTTTGCACTTGGAAATACTTTGTCATCGTAGTACTGAAAAAGAAAATTCCATATTTGTTAAGAAATGGTTCCAAAATTGGCATGAAATTAACAGATGTCAAATTCTCCGATCCTTTATTACTTAAATCATTTTATGATTAAAAAGATAAGAAATAAAATGAAAATAACAGCATATCATAACAATTATAATCAATGATTCACTTGGCTAAATAAAGGAATCAAAACAGGTAATAGTGTCATGTTTGATTAAATAAAGTTAAATATGCCAACTCAATATACCTTAGCAAGGATACGATTACCATCCTGATCCAATATAGCAATTCCTTTGATGCTATACAAAGAAGTCATTTCTGCAACAAAAAATGAAAGAAAAAGAATTATACAATTACTAACTATCCCTATCAACCCATCCTCATTCCATTAACCTCTATCATCTGTTCAGATATTATCACTCTTTTTGAACTCTCAATCAATGTTACAATTACTGCATAGTTGTAAATTTTTACAAATAATTGCACACATCCCAACAACAAAACAATTAATCAGTAGTATTATCTTTCTCTCTCCCTCTCTCTTTCTCCTTCCTTTTCTACCTCAATTTACTGTTTTTACTCTTTCTTTTTGAAAATTGAAATCACTTCCGAAAGAATCCCAACTAAAATGAATCCGGTAAAAATTCAAAAACCACAAAATTGAAAATGAAACCAATTCGCACCTTTATTTTTCAATTAAAATTCGGTACGTGTCAATGGTACGGTATGACTGCTCTTATCCCATCAACCACTTAAAAGATGAAAGAGAAAATTACTTAGCTAACTTATAAATTTCAACTGTAAATGAAATTTTATAATTTTTAAATTTGGAGCGTTCATATAAAATAATATTATCGGTGATCATTACAAAAAACTTTTGCAATTTTTTTTGTCTTCACAAAAAAAAAAACACATCCAATATGAAATGTTTATTTACATTCATATTATTAATTCATACCACGGAAACCATAATTAGTTACAAAAGTTATTTGCAGCAAGTTTTATACTACACGTCAATTTATTACATTAAATTTATTAGATGTCAATTTCACTTAGTGAACAGTTTTTTGGGTGAATATTATATCAGTAAGCAACTATTATACCACATGTAACTTATTCAGATTAATTAATAATACTAAAGGTTAAATTTTAGTACCTATAGCATCCAAATTTAGCTCAGATTAATGAGTGATTTAGCAAATTTTTTATGGATTATTATGCTCGACTTATTTATAAGATTGTTCCTCTTCTTTTTTTTTACTTTGATTGCTTGATGACAAGTTTCAATTATTTTTTCTTTTTTTTTAGGAGATTGTTCGCTCTTCTTCTTTTCTTTCTTATTTGTTTTGTTGATTTTATCATATTGGTATTTTGATTGTTTTTTAATGCTTTTTTTTTTCGTAGCACTGGTATAGGTTATTATTTTTAATTTATTAAAAGATTTTTTTTTTTGTATTATAAATAGATTTTCTTGTTAGTCTTATAAACTAATTTTAGGTTGGTCTGCTTTATGTTGTTTTTTTTTTTGTTTTTCTAATTTCTTGTGTTTACAAGGTATAAGAAGATTTTGAATTATCCAGATTTTTTGTTATTTTTAGGTTGTGTTAATTGTCGTGTTTTCGATTCTGTTACTTAATGGAGTGTTTTTGTTGTTTGTACTTTCATTTTTTTTTACTCAAATTATAACTATTTGATTAATTATGTTGAGGAGATTTGTGGTCATTGTTTTTTGGCGTTTTATAGTTGAAAATTGTAGATTTTTTTTCATTTTTATAAAATTAATTACCTGAAACTGATTGAGGAAATACTTTTTTTTCAGCTCTTTTCTTTCCTTATATTATAATTCTCATTTCCTCTGATATTATCTTATAAATATTGAATATTTTGAAATGATAGTTATGACGTAGTAGTAGTAACAGTGAAAAGGAAGAGAGTTTTAGTATTACTGTTAATGATATTTGGTTGTGAATCAGTTCAATAGGTTACATATTTCAAGAGGCAGGAAAATAGCATCAATTTTTCAAAAAAAAAAAAGCAACTTCATTTTCAACATTAACTTGAAATGATAGGAAAATTGAATGATTACAATGATGAAAAAACTAATTAAAGCTATAGATTGATTTTTTGTCTTGATGAGAATGAAAAGAAAAAAATTAAATTTAAGATTTTTATGTTTAAATTTTTACTTTTTTAAGTAATGTATGTCTCATTTATTTCTTGTATTAATAAAAAGTTGGAAATAAACCAAGCATTATTTACATTTTTGTTAATTATTCGCTAATATCCTTTTCAGGGGATGTAACATGAAAGAATAAAGAAAGTATAAAATGACTGGTATCAATTCTTTTAGAGTGATAACTTCCACTGATTGGCATTGGAGTGATAAACAGGAAATTTATGGATTAGTATTGCATTTTGGATTATACTATCGAAAGAATTTCAACTGATATCACGTTACATGACCTCAAATTTGACCCTGGAAGCAGATGAAAATGAATCTAGCCAGAAATTTCTCTCACTACTTCTTCCCTCTATGGTTCAGCCGAGTTCTTTGGTAAGAACTAAAAAAGTTTCGTATTAAATTTACTGGATAAATGAAAAAAAAACTGCTAAAACAAGAATGAATTATCGAAATAAAAAAAAAATATTGAGAGAAGACTACAATATAACAGAGGAATGAATAAAGTTAATAATATGAAAAAAAAAACGGAAAGGAATCTGAATTTTCGAATAACTCATATTTTACATTTCATTGCTACTTTCGCAATTAAGGAACCAGAAATAATGCCAACTGAAAATAAATAACGCAAATTGCTAAGAATGAATTATGAAGCAATTTTATTTTTTGCAAAAACTGCTCCAGATGATGTTAAGTGGAGATATTTGTTATCTGGAATCTCTTGCTCTTGACCTTCTGACCTTTCCCCAGCTGATCTTTTTCAGTTCTTCTGCAGCGACATATCAGTAACTAAGCGACCTTTTTAGCAAACATCTCACATTTCTTGATGACTAAAATTAGCTATATTCAAAAGAGAGGAAAAAGGAAATACAAATGATATTTAACAATTTTGTATTTTCTAATTTTAACTGAGAGATGAAGCAGAGACGATTGTTTAATCAAAATTTAAATCTTTATCATATCGACCGAATATCTAAATAAGACTTTAAAATAATTTGTGTACTCGTCGTCATACTCTTCCATACTCATAACTATAGAAAATATATTAAAATATTGTAAATTCAATTCCAGGTTGAAATGATTACCTGTCACGGAAGAAGGCTTGATGAATTGTGACAAAGATTGCTGCTGCAACAGTCCTCAAATCTCAAGCCAAAAAATTTTTCGACAACTACAGCAACACTTTTTTTTTGTTTCTATATTTAATACAAAAAAACATTTGATTAAGTTTAAAATTCCTTCCTGTTATTAGTTTATTACGGTTTTTGCGATTCAATTTTAGCAACTGTTTATCGCTGCTCAACAAACATAGCATTTATAGTAGTCATACATCACTGGACTTCAGTATAATAATATCGATTTATTGATTTTCCTCTTTCACTTTTTTGTCAAAAAAAGCTCATCAATAATCACTTTTCAAATATACTAAAGCGAAAAATTTACATATTGGCATGTGATTTACGATCTGGTCTGAAAAATTTGTTTATTAAGTTTATAGCATCACATCAATGGAATTACTTGTTTAAATGATATGACGAGTTATATAATTTCTATTTTATTTTATTTTCAATTTTCCATCAATTTATAGTGTGGTACAAGACATATAGTGCGCAGTTTAAACATCCATTAATTTTCTCTTTTTAGACTTGATTTTATTTCACGTTTTATTCTTCATGCAAGAAAGACTACGTGAAGGAAGCGGCAGTCATTTTTTCCCTTCAATGAACCTATAACGGATAGTTTGAGATTATTTTAAATTTCACTAGATGATTCATATTTGTCAATTCACTAAAAATTAATTCTTAATAATAATTCTAACATTTTAAAATTTTCCATCTGTAAATTTATGAAAAATTTTTAACTCTTTCAATAACACTTCCGTCAGACGGTATCACTTTGTTCAACAGATTTAGCTATCTTTCCACTGATTCTTTCTATATCCAATAATATTACGAGTAGGATAACATTAGAAATAGAAATTTGTTGACATAATTTTATTACTTATGCCTATTTTATGAGTCATAATTTTTATCAGACTGGTCCTACGTTATGAATCATAGTAACCAGCCCTAATCATATCATTGTTCTATCCAAATCTATCAGTTTTAAATGACATTCGATAATATTTTACGAAATATCCTGAAATTCACCATGAAATTTTTTTTTCCCATAAAAGAGGGAAAAAGAGAGAATATAAAAAAACATTCTAGGAATAGCATCACGGTTTTAATCGATTGTCTCCTCGTCGGAAGTACATTTTTTCTTCATTAATTCACAAAATGTTTGCATGCGTATCAACAAATTTTGTGTCTTACATTATTTAAATAAAATGGAATTGAGTTTTTTTTTTAGATTTATTTTTTATTGATCGTACAACAAAATAAATTCAACTCCCAATTATATGAAATTTTGACCTTTCGAAAGGAAGATAACGAATCATATATAAATAGGATCACTGAACAGAACACTAACAGTGTGATCTGACCTCAAGTGAAATGTATAGCGGAACACCGATGAATGCTCTACGAGCGAAGGTTAGTTAATTTAGAACTTTCCATGTAAATAATGGAAGATTCGAGAAACATTTCTGACATTCCAGTTCGATTATATCATAGATTTTGAGAAGAAAAAATCATGATTTACTAAGGAGCATGAAAAAGAGAAGAGTACATGAAGATAGCTATCATAAATTTTGTGCTTCAAACTTTTTCCTATTTTAGATATTTTCGAAAAATTCTTAAAGAATTTAAAATCGATAATTTAAGAGTAGTAGTTTCTTTTCGTGCCAACTGTTGACTCATACATTTTTTTTCTTCGACCATTCGAGTTCCACTTCTAATGCACGAATTAAATCTGAATAGTGATGATTGAGAAAAAAAGCCTACAAGCTCACAGATAAAAATTAACAAACTTTGAAAAAAAAAACATAAGACACCGTCGAAACTGTTCGCACTCATAAGGGTTCGTGTACCGATTGATCGAAATTTAAACATTTGCTACAGCAACACCGCTGCAGGAATTCATACATTGTGTGAGTGGGAAATATGTTCAGGAGGTTTGTGTGTTTCCTGAGTGCAGATTGCTTAGATGTGTCGATCCATTCCGGATATTGATTGATTGCTTTTCTGGAAATTGTATTCCGGAAGGAAGGATTGCTTAGATGTTTGGAAAATTGACGGATTGTTAAGTTGTGTTCGACGGATGCTATAAATATATGAAAAAATCCTCCAGATATATCACAATATTCAATCGAGTTTTGAGATGTTAAGTGATTGCAGTATCGGTTAGCCGAGGATCAACATCGTAAAGGTTTGAAAGCAATGGAAAGTGATGAGTACAAATGCGCTTCTGCTGCAGGTATTTCCGATTTGTAGTATGGCGGATTATGTTGCCTCTGTCCTTTTTCCCTGGCTATCTTTTTTGTCATTTTTTTTTATTGTATCTTATGCAAAACTTCTTGACACTTTGAATTTTTCTCGTTCAGATTGATTCCTTTCAACTTTCTTGCTACTATGAACCTTTTGTTTTGCTGTGTTTCATAGTTTGATCAGCTCATAAAATCATTGACTGATTTCAGATTCATTCCTGACGCTTAATCTTTTCTTTTTGATATCCAATATTGATAATACTTTTTAGTATTTTTGTTAAATTTATTGGTTTTCATTACAGTTGATAATGTAAGCAAGATCTTGAAGAACAACCGAAAGTCATCGATTACTCGAATGCTGAACGATACCGCTAAGGGTTTGAAGCACGTTTATCAACTCTCACATCCGTCCCAGGAAGATCTTACTTATGATCTCTTCAAATGTTCCAAAAAACCCGAGGAAGCTTCTTTGGGAAAATTACTTTCTGTGAGATATTGTTGTTTTTTAGTAGAAAAGTACAAGAAAGTTTTCATTCTTGGAAGCAATATTTTATTACTGGAGAATACTTTTTTTTAATTTTGTTAGTTCTAAGTTGCTTAACTTTTCGAAGTTTCCAAACAGTTAGTAGCTCCTGTTTGTAGGTTTTGCGATCATTCGGCATCCGTGAAGACGATCCACGATTGAAACATACGATTGAAAAAATGCATGAATATGAACTACAAATTGAGGATGATTGCGATACTAGACACTGCCTATTAAACAAAGAACAATTCAAAGAGTCAGTAATTAATTTATAGATTGAAGAGAATATTTCTTTTGCTTGAAAAATCAGAACCAGAAGGCTCTCCTTTTCATTCAGTAACTCTTACACCTTGCGGACTTGAATGGTTCGACCTTTATTTTCTAAAATTGAATGCTGTGTGATAAATTCAGTACAGTAATATGTTATATTAAATTGAAATAATTACAGATGTATTCGGCCCAGCATTAATTTAATTGCCCAGACACTTCGCAACGATTTAATTATTCCATGTTGGGGCGAATTTATTGCCAAGATCAAAGAAATTTTTGATGAAGTAATTTTTCTATATCTGCACCATTTTTTTATTTTTCATCGCGAAGCATATAGTAACCAACTTTCTCCCCATCTTGCTATCCAGGTCTTTTCTTTGAAGGTTCTTTGGAATTCTCTTTTAAACGGGAATTGCGCGTTAAAAAAGGGATTACGCGACCTGATGAATTACTTTTTTTTTGAAAGTTTCTAGAACGAATAAAAAATCTATTTTGGTTACTATAAGAGTTCGTAAAAAGTTATATTTAATATTTATTGAAACTTTTTATTTTTCATTTTTTAGCACTTTTAGCAAATTAATTTCAGTGCGCAAATATTCATGAAGGCAAAGTAGCAGATTATATTCCTCAGTTGGCTAGGATGGATCCGAAAAAATGGGGTCTTTCCATATGTACGATTGACGGACAACGTATCAGTTATGGTGACGCACGTGTACCATTTTGTTTTCAGTCCATATCAAAAGGTAATGCGGTCGCAACCATTTATTTCTATAGCTCTGATATTTAAAGGCATATTATTATTAGTCATGCCGAAGTACCAGTTTTCTGTTAGAAAATTCTTTTTAGCTTTTAACTATGCGATAGTGGCTTCTGATTTGGGAGCAGATTTCGTCCATAACTATGTGGGCCATGAACCATCCGGGCGATTATTCAATGAAATATGTCTGGATTGCAACGGTAAGCTTTTATATATAAGATGCTTCAATTTTCTTCAAATTATCTAGTAGAAATTTGTTAATGAAACGTTAAGTTACATTCTTCTACTAAAAAGCTTTTTTTTCTAAGGCTAATCAGTCTAAGATTAAAATTTAGAATTCTTTGTATTTATTCTGGCTATACTGATGCATACTAAAGTACCAAGTTCAAAGTTAATGTAATTTGCTTAACAGGTAAACCGCATAATCCTCTCATAAATGCTGGAGCAATTATTGTCACATCACTGCTGAAAATGGGACACAAAATGGCTGATCGTTATGACTTTGTAAGTTTTCATGCTATCAAATTTTATTGATTAATTTTAATTATGCATATAATATATGAAATTGAACTCCATTCATATTTTTACAGCTTCCGTATTTTTGAAGCTGAGTGGAGCAATTTCTATTCTTGAATACTTAGTGAACAGGAGTGAGCCAATGACTTGAACTCGAGATTTAAACTGTAGTTGGAATGTTTTCAGGTATTAACACAATACAGAAAACTGGCAGGAGGTGGTTACATAGGATTTAATAATGCGACGTAGGTTTCATAATGTTTATGCTGTTTTGTTTATATAATATTTTCTATTACTCGAGCTTTTGTTTTTCATTTTTCATAATAAAATCTTACTTATAAGAACTTCTAAAATATTCTCTGACTATACTAATATTAAAAAAAACGTTTAATGCTTTTTAAATTAAAAATACTTTCTTATAAGCTCAAATATTTTTCAGCTTCCTTTCGGAACGCGATACCGCAGATCGTAATTATGCGCTTTCTTACTACATGAAAGAAAATAATTGCTTTCCTGGTTCAGTATCGCTGCGAGATGAGCTGGATTTCTATTTTCAGTTATGTTCATTGGAAACAACATGTGAAAGTGCTGCAGTAATGGCAGCAACTTTAGCTAATGGAGGTCGAGACTTGATATTTGCAATTTAGTTCTCTTCTTTAATAAAGGGAGTATCGATTAAACACAGAATAATATTTTGATCAAGTTTCTGTAGAATTGATTTCAGAATCAGTTATTGTGTTATTTATAAATTATCGTTTATGAAATGAAAAGAAAGTTATGATTTTTTCTTAGGTGTTTGCCCACTTACCAACGAAACATGCATTAGTGCTCGACCATGTCGTGATATTCTTTCACTGATGTATTCATGTGGAATGTACGACTACAGTGGCCAATTCGCATTTCAGGCAGGTCTATGGAAGAAATCAATATTTAATCATATAAATTACTTCGCGTTGCTTTGTACGAGTTATCAGTGATACTTTTAGGTTGGCTTACCTGCAAAATCTGGTGTCTCTGGAGCAATGATCGTTGTAGTACCAAATTTGATGGGAATTTGTATTTGGTCACCGCCTTTGGATAAAATGAGTAATAGCGTGCGTGGTGTAAGCTTCTGTAAGGTATATATTTTCATTACTTATTTCTGATAATATTTGTTTCGGTTTTCAAAAAATTGTAATATTTCTGCGGTTATTGGAATTCTACTTCCAGAAATTAATCGAAACTTTCAACTTTCACAACTATGACAGTTTGCTCCATGCAGATACCAAGAAAATAGATCCCCGAAAGCGTGGAATGCCAAATGAATCCGAACTAATTCTCGAAATGATGTTTGCAACAAAGAAAGGCGATATTGATGATGTCCGAAGGTATTTATTTCACAGAAAACTTTAATGACGACGATAAAGCATTATCTTTCCTGGCTGGATAAAATAAGATAATCTCAAAGCAAGAATGTTATTGAGTCTAAGTGGATTAGTGCTGATAGTTTGCTCATATATCTTTTTTTATAGAGCCCTAAGTCTTTAATGGTGTAATAATCTTTCGTTGAATAATCTAAAAAATGATGTTAATAATTCTCGGATTATATACTTAGGAGAAGGATTACGCATAGAATTTCGTCCCATATAAACATAACAATTTATGAAAATGTTTTTCGAGGAGTAAGCAACAAGATTTATAATTAAAATTTTCAGAATGTTTTTGGGTGGTATTGACTTGAATATGTCAGACTATGATGGTCGGACAGCATTGCACCTAGCTGCTTCAGAGGGACAATCGTTAATGGTGGATTTCTTTCTCGATATTGCTCATGTTAATCCGCTTGTGAGAGACAGGTTAGTTATGAAGATATTTGGAATGACTTGAACTTAAATGTAAACTCCTTTAAGAAATGGTATGCAATTTATAATGTTTTTATGATGAAAAATTAGGTTCCTTTATTGATATAATAAGCGGTAGGTGGTCTAAATCTTTTTTACTGAATTAAAGATGTTGAATTGTTTTTCAGTACGTTGCTAAATGACACCAAGTGCTAAAAATATCAGTTTATTGAATAAGTTCACCATTTATATCTAAGCTATCTGATATAGAAGGAGTCACTCATGTTATGTATGGATTGTATTATCTATTTCATAAAGTTAAGGATGTGAGATCAAAAGGCCAATATTTTTATTTACTCAAGATCTTGGACAAAGTTATTCGACATTATAACATGAGATGTCTTATCAGTAATTTCAGAAGAAAATATTATTAGAATTTTGATATCGAGAAACATGGCATATTGAATAGGAAATCATCTTATTACAGGTGGAATAGGACAGCTTATGATGATGCTTTGTCGTTTGGATTTACGAAAATTGCGGAAAAAATCAAATCAGCTATGGATAAAATATCTGGCGGATTCGTGCCGATGTTAGTTAAAATAAAATTGCCAAAATTTATCAAACTTCATTGTTTTTTTTTTGCTTGTAAAATAGTACTTTGCAGAACAATTCCTCCGGAAAAAGCGCGACAACTACTACCTGAAAATGGTGATGTTTTAATTAATTTGCCAGAAGAGGCAAATGACTGGGAAAAAGGTTTGTGCGTTGTTTAAATTATTTCACTTATGAGCTGATTCTTCTTTTCAGTTATTTGAATCGAATAAGTAAAATTTCGTGGAATAATAGAGAATAAGTAATTTAGTATAAAATATATTTTAATTTTGCCGAAGCTAAAACATTGTTTTAGCTTTTGCAAAAAAATACCGTTTTAATAAAGCAAAAATAAATTTAAGAATTGCGAATTGTGGTTGATCGTTTGTCTTGTTTCGATCACTCAAATGTTGATGACGATTGTGTGACCAGTCCTAGCACTGTTGAGAATGGCAATGCAATATCTTATATTTTGGAAAAATCATGTGAAGGAAATGGTGACGCTAGTGCTCTGGATGCTGAAAGCATTTCGGACGGAAACGGCGGTCAAATCGATCTTCGCATAAAATTTTCAGACTAATAGTTAGGATTGATGGTGGTAACATATCGATCAGTAAGTTCTGCCTATCTATTGTTCTATAATTTATTGGCGGTTTAGGTTTTCTATCACTGTTAAGTCTTTTCTTTTTCAATATCTTTTCACTGTGATACGCCTCAAACTTTTTGTTATGGTGGGGCTCTGCCTCTTCATAATAAATGAAGGCAGTGTACATAGTAAATGAAGTTAGTGCATATATTCTCTTCATTCTTGCCTATCCTGATTGCTGGTATTATTATTACACGTACGTTTACTTTCAACCAATTTAGTTTTCAGCATTTTAAAATTAATTTTTTATCATTTCTCAGACCTAGTAAATCTGTACAAATTGATATTACCTCCTTCTGATAGTATTATTATTGCGGTCGTTCTCTCTTCATTACATTGTTTGCTTGCAGATTTTCCAGACTTGTACTTTAGAATTTCAAATATTGCATCGAAAGTTCGATTTAGTAAGGCATTGCATTTTTTTTCTTTCCTAAACAGAATGATCCAGGTAGTTTGTAGACATCCAGGTTGAATGACCGCAGAATTGAAATCCAAATAGGAATTTTTTAACTTACTAAAGAGTTTAAACAATTTCTGAGAACCATTCTTCTTTTTATGAATATTATCTGTTCCTTGATGCACTTATGGTTGTTTCTATCCCTTTGTTTCCGTCACTGTATCTACTTCTAAGAAAATTTTTTTTTGTGTTGTTACTAACATATTGATATTCTGTTGTTACTATTGTTTATTGTTATTCAGAGTTTTTTGAATGTTTGATTTTTTGTTACTGTCGGGAAAAAGTTCTAAGAGATTCGGGTTAATCTAATCTTTTATTATCCAAAACGAATCTTATGAAACAATAAGAAACAAATAATCGTGGAGAACCAAAGAACGGGGATTAACGAAGAATATTGTCCGCGTTGTCCCAATTGTCTAAAACCCCTCCCTTTGAGACTCGGACCGAGATTATATGTGTTAAGAAATGGGAGTGGTTTACATAAACATTCAAGCACACCGGATGTGATACAAGCATTACAAGATTAAACATGGGAAATTAAGGGTTTTACAGATAGTTTAGATAAGATAATAACAAAAACAGCTCAAAGGAATGTAGACATAGGAAAAACAATTTTAAGGAATGTAAACATGTCCAAATGATTCATAGTTTCATTTACTGTAGTTACAATGAAAAAAAAAGGTTTCATTTATTTATTTATTTATTTATTTTGGGGTTTCGTTTTCACGACAGTTACGGATATTTTTTTCTTTCAATGTTCTCGGCTAATGCATGATACTTATTACTTATTTAAGGTTTTTACCAGTATTTATTAGGTAGATTTTACATTTGACACTTTTTTTTCAAAGATGCGTGTTCTGTCTACAAAAATTATGAGTAACAATTTTTTTAAAAATCGGAATTTTTTAATGATCTACCTCAGAATTCTGTAAACGTAATTTATTAATGCTGCTAAATTTTAGCCTGAAACTCTTGAGAGAAAAAATTTTTCTCATCACCTATAACTGCTATCATCTTTAAAAACTGCAGCATTTCACTTTATTGTCAAGATTATTCTATGAGATAAAATTTGTTACCGGCTATGCCTGTTCTACATGCGCTCAAATTATTTGTATTTGAAGCACGAAATGATAAATCTCGAATAAAAAGGAAATATATTTAAATCAGATCATTTAATACTCTAAACTTAGTACATTTAAATGTCCATAAATTGATAGAAGTTGTAGTTTTTTTTCGGATTTTTTATCTTAATTAATGTTCAGCCAATTTTAGCTCCGTCCATACTTGTGAAATGCCAGTATGACAAGTAGAGATCTTAAATTACGGCTTCTACAGTGACAGATTTTTTCTGTTTTTTTTTTTTTGAAATATAAAGCGAGTGAAGGTTATACAGAGACAACAAGAATGGAAGTGTCACTAAATTAGCCGTTGTGTATGTCATGCAGTGATTGAAGGTAGGGCTTTCAAATGATCTGTTTTGTTTATCGAGAATTTTGCATTTTTATGGTCAATCGGCTCTTCAAAGAATTTTATGTCTATCTATTTCGTGTCGATTCAAATGTCATGACATATAATATCTGATTTTATCATTTGTTGGACATTGCTCTCCATGAGAAGAAATCGTCTGATCATACTTTCTTTATTCAAATCTCTTCCTCCTTCTATCTTTCCTTCTTTTGCTTTCTTATTTTGCTTAAATTATTCAATCTATAAGGAGGGAATATTTTAATGAACTTGTATTCTTTATTTAATGAAATTTGAAAGCTTAAAATTTACGAAATTCTAAATAACTTTTGCAACAATAAAATTATTTCTCTTCTGTCTCTTCGAACCATTTGTTTTCTGAAAAAGAATTGCCAAAGTAGCATTTTTGAAACAATTAGTTAAAATTTTTGAAAATTTCGTTTCTCATACTAAAAGAAATTTTTTCCTGTTGTTTGTTTTTTCAAATATCGATTTGTTTTTAGATATACCTGATAAAATCGATGAAAAAATAAAATTTATAAAATTACAAATAACTTTCATAATAAATAAATTTTTTTTTCCATCGATTTCTTCTAAAACAATTGTAATTATAGCTTTCTTTAAATGATTGTTTAAAATTTCAGCAATTATTCATTTATTCATTATCAACAATTTTTCACTTTTTGTTTCTTCAAAAATCAATTTATACAAGCTTTCTTGATTTGATATTTAAGGTCAAAAAAAGAGAAATTAGTTCTATTATCTCATATTCTTTTATCTCAGGATTCTATTTTATTTTTCTTTTCAATACTTCACATTAATGGTAAAATTATATTACTTAAAAAAAGATTGTTTACTTCTTTACTATTTACGATTAGCTACGGGGAACGCTTAAAAATCTTCCAAGAAAATGTATACATTATAGAAAAATCAAGTAACGAAAATAGCAACATATGAAATTAGTAAATTTGCCGATTGGGCTGATGAGGGATTTAATACGGTTTGCATAAAGCAATTTTTCTGAATTTCAGTTTAATTTCAGATTTATGATTTTTCTTAAGTTTGATTTTATTCATTATTTTTGTTTAGCATATCTTAGCGAAAAAATGGAAGAAAGCATGAAAAAAAATATTATTTTGAAAGGCTATGTGGAGAATTCCTTTCCAACTTATTTCAGATATTTTCTGTTTTTAATTGCTGTATTAAAAAAATTTTAATTGTAGTTCACTGGACCACTTCCTGAACCGGATCGTCATGTGTTCCGATACCATGGTCTTGGTTGGATTCATATACTCTCAGATGGCTCATCGTATCCACCCCGCTGGGATTGGAGGGAGAAAGGTGGCGTAACTGCAGTTAAAAACCAATGTTAGCTTCAAATTTAAAAAGAAAAACCTAAATTATCACTTAATTTGAAAAAAAATGGAGGAATAAATGACAATAAATGACACTTTTGCAAATTCAAACTACTTTAGTTGCGTGATTGATCTTTTTCGAACATTTCAAATTCTGACATTTTAAATTCCAGCACTAAATTCCAACAATAGAGCGCATTTGTTGCAAATTCAATAATTGATATTTTCAGCATATAAGTGTAATTCATGTTACGCGTGTGCAGTAACTGCAGTAATAGAATCATTGTATGCAATCAAATATCAACGATACATTTCCATATCGGAATATGAAATGCTTGATTGTGATTATACCAACAATGGTTGTCAGAATGGTAGTATCACGAGATCGCTAGTGTTAGTTACTATTTTTTAAAACATGTCCCTATTTTAATTATTTTAATTCAATTTCTATCCCTATTTTCATTTAGATATCATCTGTTAAATTATATACCTTAGTTCCTTTTAAATATTTTTTTTTTAAAATATATTCTGTAAAACTGAACTTAAAACAAAAATATTTATCGTGGAAAAAAAATTCCTTTTTTCATATTCCTTCTTAATCATTCATAAATATTTCGGTACAGATGCTTATGACAATATCTACTACTAAATTTAATCTATCGATAAAACACTTTGCTCAATGTTATCAGACGAAGCGCAGTTTTCTGTCGCAGATCATCTTTTCAACTAAACAAAAATCATGAAAAATTGGACAAATACTAGACATTGGACAGTTTCATTTCTCTTAAAAATCGGAATTGAATTATCAAAATTTTTCATCATTTTGTAGACGTGGGAAATATATATTGGCTATATGCGATCGACGAATTATCCAATGTTATTAGGAAATAATTACTATTGCCCATTATCCGCGAAATTTTAATTAGTAAATTATATCAAATCGATCCGGATCCGAATGCAATGTTGCACCGGCTGCACTAAGTCCGTTTTTTGAGGATTGTGAAGTTTTTTTTCTTTTTCTGTATGACAAATAATTGAGTAGAAATCAATCGTCACAAGAGATTTTATCATTACTGCCTTCAGTATTTTCAAGAGCATTAATGATCGAAGAATGCATTTTCGAATGAAAGTAAAATTGTTCATTGAGCTATTTAAAAAAGACATTTTAAACATTTGCATAATAGCAGTATGAATAGGAAGAATAATTAGCCATGAAAAATGGAGTGAATTTTACCAGTGTGTGACAGTCCTTTTGACTTTTACACAATTCTTCTGTGACCTGAAAGTAGAGAAATTGAATGGGAAGATTTTTCATTGAAATGAATACTTACTTTTTGTTTTCATTGACCTAAACTTCAAAAACTAGTATCATCTGTCATTGACCCTTTTCGATTAAATATGTATGAAGTTTAAAATGTGACAAATTTCACAGAAGACATTTCAAACATAGTATGAGAGGAATAAAGGAAGAGATATCCATTAAAAATTCTACGTAAATAACGCTAAGCAAAAGCTTCCTCTTTCTCTTATTGTGTAACGAAATTCCATTATGTAATTTTGCAATGGTCTTTGACCTTGATTTTATCTTACAACTAACTGAAGAACTGAAAATTACTGTAATAAGTACATCTCAGTTCCCTAATGTCTTGTGATAAAAATACAACGATAATTATCCTAATACTTAACATTTGCAATCAGTTTCTTTTTTATAGAACTTTCCCAATCTTTTCTATCTAACAGATATTGCATTTCCGAAACAGTACAAATTCTACAAATCCGGCGTATTACCGGGTACCAATGAATGCTCGAGAATGGAGCCAAATCATGCAGCAGAAGTGATCGGTTATGGTACAGAAAATGGAAAGGGGTAAATGGTAAAGTGAAATAGCAAAGTAAAATGAAACATTAGGGTAAAGTAAAATATCACTTATTAAGACTCGACGATCCTTCTCCCTTCGATTCTTGATCGGTTTGAAATTAAGCTTTAATTCTGAAACCCGTGCATAAAACGTTATTTTTGTAAAGGCAACCACAGCTTTATGAAAAATATTTCCAGGTGGGGGAACCAAGGATTTTTCAAAATCGAACGACGTGCCAATGCTCGTCAAGTTGAAAATTATGCAGTATCGGCTGGCTTATGAAAATTGAAACTTGCAACAAATTCTAGACGATCCGGCTAACTCTTCTCCATGATTTCATATTGGATCGATTTCCAAATTTGAGATATATGAAACAGTTTGAAATATGACGAAAATAAAACCACGGTTTTGTTAATTGTTCTTGTTCTTATTTATAACTTTGGCATACTCTTTAAAAGACCAATTAATTTATACATTTACTATCCAGAAAAATACACTTCCAGCCATTTATATATTCATTTCCAGAGATAGAGAAAGGAGAAGGCAGCAATCTTCTATTTCAAAACAACTTGTAAAATTTCTTATTACTCCTTCAACATCTCTTATCCAAACTCTATCTCTGCAACCATTTCAAGATAAAAAATATTTTCCGAACAATTTTTCTACCAAAAGACGGGGATTGTTATCAATACATTTTAACACCCGTAAGACTGAAACTGGAAAATTCCGAACAGTTAAAGAAAAAAATAAGTACAAATTAAGAGCTATGGCTAATAGATGCAAAAAAAAGGGTTAAAAGCCCAGATGTTTAAATAAGTTGTTAGTATATACAATTTTCATCAAAGCGCGATAGAAAAAATACCACTCCAAAATGTTCCAGAAGCTTCAGGAGCATAACGTTAAGGCAAATTGAACTACAGACAATTTGAGTATTATGTTTTAACGAAAAATGGTCGTTTTCAAAACATAACAGATAGCTGGCAAATTGCGATAACATATTAGAAAAAAACATTGCAAACGATACAAAAATATTAACTGTATCTTTTGATTTCCCATGAAAGATAAGAAAAAACAAAACCAGCTCCCAACTCATAACGACTGTATTTTCTTTAAAAACTATACCTGAGGCTCAGTACGCATATTAGACTTCCATTTCGTAGTTTTCTTAATATACCGATTTTTAAACAATCAAAAAAGCTATTGTGAATTTTATCCAATCAAAATGTAAGCAGATCACCTAAAATCATTAATACCTATCAGTAAAGATAGGTAAGAAAAAAAACGGAAAGCTTTCAAATAAAGTCACAAATGTGACCTGATCACGCTGGCAATGCATTCATTATCAATTCTTTCGATGCTGATGAAAGCGAATCTGGAAATTTCACATCAAATTCAACAATTAAATCGCCTCGTCGTCCAGCCATTTTCGGATTCGGCAAGCCTTGCCCTGTCAATCTGAAAATAAATCCTGTGTATTGAAGCGAACTTTGGTTAAATTACTAAGCTTGAAAGAATTGTTGTAAAGTTTGAACTAATGAAAATCATTTCTCATATCAGTAAGGCTACAGCTGGACATCAGACAACTAGAAAGCGTTTTTCATAAAAACTTTCCAATTGCCTAGTGCCTCATTATAGCTTTACTGATATAATGTCAAAAAAAGCCGTTACCGGTTATTTGCTCTTTTGAGCACAGTAACATGCAAAGTTACGAAAATATCCCTGAATTTATCTCATAAACTTTTCATATAGATAGAAATCATGAGAAAAATGTCTTTGGAGCAATATGTCCTAATCAACAAGGTCCTATTTTAGAAGTAGAGAAAACATACCTCCTGGACGTATTTGGTCTAATGACCTCGTTGAGTCGCATCGGATATGTCGTACCATCCAGAGTTGGAATATGTACGACTGCTCCACACAGGGCGTCACGTAGCGCCAGCTTGTGTACATATCGGATATCCGCACCTTCTCGCTGAAAAAATTGCAAATGACTGGAAATTAATAGAAGTCTTTCTTTTTATTGTCAATCAGCCTCATCTTTTCCCGAATTTCTAGACAACCATGTACAGAATCACCTTGAACTTAGGATGATGTTTGTCTTTGATAACAAAAACTATGTCAGCAGGAACACGTCCTGGATGTTGGTCACCTTCTTTGGGAAACGTAATCTTGGTTCCACTCTTCCAACCAGGCTTGATATTGATTGTCAATACCTTATCTTCTATTCGTGTCGATTGTCCATCGGGAGCTAATACCTTCCTATAAATATCGAGAACAGTACTTCTACACAAGTAACATGACTAAATATTTATGATGATGAGTTATATTGTGAAACGATACTTGTTTTAATAACTGCGAAAAGAAGTTAATTAAATAAGATACCTGGTAATTTTCATTTTTTTGGTACAGCCCTTATAGATATCCTCTAAAGAGACCAAAAGCTCATGCTGCACAACAGGATCTTGACGTTGGCGTCGTGGATGACCACCCATACCGAAAGGCATTCCTGGAAAATCTGAACATCTTTTATTTCAAGGTTATAAATAAAAATCTTTAAGAAAAATAGATTAAAAAAAACCTTGACTACTTTTAATGAAAAAGTCTAATAATCTAGAGCAAGAAATAATGCAATACCGAAATGCATATCATCGCCACCGGTTGAGAAGAAAAGTTGTGGTCCACCACCACCAGTAGATCCACTAGCAAAGAACGTAGAAAATGGATCACTTCCACCAAAGAATTGAGCAAACATCTGCATCGGATCTCCTCTGCAAGTTATATCTCTTGTCGAGTAGGAAAAGGACAAAAGAGATGCAATAAAATTAGATTTAGTAAGTTCCGGTACCTAAAGCTCTACAATCGACTTTTCTATCATATTGAACTTTCACAATTTAATGTGCTGATCTATCAGTATCGAATAACTTACTTCACATATATAGAGATAACAGAAAAAAAAAACTTACTGGAATTCATAATGCACACCACCTGGACCTCCGAATCCTCCCTCTCCTCCTTTCAAACCATCTTCACCGAATTTATCGTAAATTTCTTTTTTCTTCGGATCTGATAGCACATCGTATGCTTCCGCTACTTCCTAAAATTGAAAATTAAACATGAGATATGCTCATTTACTGTGAAATTCTAAGGATTCAAAACTGCAAAAATTTCTAGTCAATCAATTACAGAAACAAACCTTAAATTTTGCTTCTGCCCCAGGTTCTTTATTTTTGTCCGGATGGTACTTCAGTGCCATTTTACGATATGCCTTCTTGATCTCCTCATCACCAGCACCTTTCGCAATTCCTAGCACTTTGTAATAATCCTTTCCCATGATGTACTTGATTTATTTCAAGATAAAGAAATATGCAATCAAAATAATCAAAAATAGACGAAATAAGCAGTCTTGCGTTACAAAGTCTATAAATGGGCGTAAATTTGTGCAACTGAAGAGCTCAATCTGAAAAAAATCTGGAAAGATCGATATAAAAAGTAAAATTTACAAATCTGAAACTAAAGCATGAACACGAAAATTCAATAACAATGATTGGCAAGATCATCAGCATTTTATCTAAATGTAATACATTCTCGTACATGTAATACATAGAATGTAATGAGTCATTATAAGTTGCCATTATCAATAAAAATACTCGTCAGCCATAGTCATATATTATCATTCTACTGACGAGAACAATCAACACTAAACACAACTAATACAAAAATCAAGGTCATGTAAATAAGGTCAAGTCAAAAAAATTGAACATTGCGGCTCTGGGAAACAGCTACAATTATGCAGTCCTTAGAATCATAGAATAAGTGCAAAAATTGAACTTGAATTTTACTATCTAATTTTAAAGAGAAATAAATGAACGAAGCATGAACGGATACTCAAGAATAACTTCAAGCACAAGCACACATTCCGCCAATAAAAGAATATCTCCTACCACATGACTTACTAAACATATCAGCTGAAAAGAAATTCTGGTTGAAATCTTAATAAGACTTCAGAAATAACGAGTCTTTTAAGATACTCGATAAATAAATGATAAAGAACTAATAATAACCAGCAAATAACGAAAACATGAAGAAAACGGAAAAGCTTACATCGAGCAAATGTACCAACAAGGACAAAAAAAACCTTTCGAAATGAATTTGTTCACTTCTTTTCTAAAACTACTTATAAGCAAAACTCTTCCCGTTTCCGTATCCGCACTAAAGAAACATCCAAATCAATCATATAATATCAATACAATGAAAACAAAAAGTGAAAATGAATGAGAGAGAGAGAGAGAGAGAGAGAAATCATTGAAATTCAATAAATCTAAGCTTCATTTCAACTAACCTCTCTTTCAAAAAGAATAAAATAGACTAGATGATTCACCATTACATGGAAAAAGAGACAAAATTTACGCAGAGTGCTAAGTAGTATTTAGCCATCAACAAGCAACAGATTGTCGTAAAACTGAATTTAAATTTAAAAGAAATCAAATTTTCACATCAAAGATTAATATGGAAATTTCAAACAGATCGAGGAAATTGAAGTGCTAAAGCAATCGGCGCAAATGTACCTCTTCAGCTCACCACCATTCCGCCTCCTCCCCCGTCCATCCGCAAGCGCATCACATACGAATGAGAGACAAACTCCCATAAACATGTTTCATGCTGCTACCACCTCTCCAAGCCAACCTAACGCAACATTTTTCGAATGTTCCCGAATGTTCTCGAATGTTCCATTTAGCACCGTATACTCTACTGTGAAATGCTTTCAATTGAATACTTGAAAATCTGAACGAGAAGTGAAGTGGGAAATCAAAATTTGGGCAAATTATTTGTTGCAGCACTTCTTGCGTAGTGAAAAAAATATCGAGAATTCCCGGTAGTTTTCATCTATTTCGTCATTCTAATGCATTTATTGATTGATCCGTTCATCTTTTCACCTTTTCCATTTAGTGATTCGTTCATCTCTATCGTTTGCGATACTTTCAAAAAGCAAATTTTTGGTTGGCATTTTATCCGTTCCAACGGGTGGAATGCCGCCATGACTTTTGCGCCAAATTTAATCGGTCGGTCAATTTACATTACTTCTTATTAATATACTAAAACTAAACGCACTTACCGTAATTTTTTGTTTCAATTTCAGTTAATAAACTGTGTATTGTGGAATAACCAGGAAAAAGCTAAGCATAATTAAAGTTATAATTAAAATCCTGGGAGTCAAACAGGCTAAAATGAAAATTACCACGTGTTTATTTGCAAAAACTGCTAATTCAATCAATTTGTCCAATGTAAAAGAAAATGGAAGCAAATAATAGCAAAAATCTCGACCGGATCCGGCATGCAACTGCTAGTAATAATCCAAAATAAATTCTGAAAAATAATTGAAAGCAAAATATCTTTAAAAAACCTCAAAAATCCGTTTCTGATCAAATTTCATAATTTACCAGATTTTTTCTATTTAAATTAATTCCTTTAATTAATTCATTAACTTCTGTAATTATTTGTTTCTTCTATCAAAGCGCACTGCTTAGGTAATTTGCTTCCGGACGCTTGCATTAAATCAAAGTTTAATGGTTCAACACAGTTTTTCACATTCAACAACTATGTCTAAGTTACTACTTTCAATTTAGTAATTTCAAAAATCTCTTTTGCTCATTTGTGAAAAACTTCGAATTATCAAGTTTATCGAGGATAAACCATTATTTTAATCTTCAAAGACAGAGAGAGAAAGAAAGATGAAAGTGAAAAAGTTCGAAAAATCAAACTTTTGCCCTGCTAATATAAAAGTATTTGTCGATTTTGGAATTTTCATTTATTGTAATGCCTGTAAGATTTTATTTCAGACATTTTCCCACCATTTCCTTTTGAATTTCCATTTTAACATTGCAATATTCCAAAATCTTATAATTTTTTCCCCAACTTGAAAATTACTTCCACCTCAATTTTGAAATTTGCATTGTGTAATGACAAACTTTATAAATTTTGATTCCCATCATATTTTAATAAATTTAAATTTAGTCATATATTATTTCAATCAACAAAAGCAATTGAAAACTTATCCGTTTGGCATTCCAGTTTAGAATTAACCATAAGCGTAATTATTAATAAGCGAAGATTGAAATTGTTGCATGATTAATTAGTTTGAAAGCATCGATGCAGAGGGTCAATCTCTCATTTTGCTTTGATTTACGCCTTAAAATTGAATAATTTTAAAATCCAACACTATAGAAAATGGTATATTTTGCGCTCTATTCGTTTAAATTTGCGGCTTTCTTTAGCTCTTTGAGCAACTGGCGAAGATGGGAGGATTTTCGTTGCTGTTGCTTGCCAAAAAGTTTACAACATATTTCGAGGATAAACCAGCTGCTGTGCTACTTTAGCTCACACCAACTAAATGAATAATGATGATAATGATGATATTGTTGACGACGGCGACCATCATCATCAATGATCATCATCATCGTCACTATCATTACTACGACTACCATTTATTATTCATTATTATTAAAAATAGTACTGCTATAATTATTTTCATCATTATCATTATAATCATCAATATTATCACTATCCATGTTATTGCTTCAGTTGCTTGTTAGCTACAGTTAACTAATGAAACCATTGCTCCTTGTTAGCATTTTCTTATGCAGGATTAAAATTTCCCACCAATTATTGATTTTATCTTTTCTCTTTTTTTTTTCTGAACCATTTCGGTTTAGAATATTTTACGGGAGGAAGACGCTACACTGTTTTCGCATGATGATAACGATCATAATATCGTCAAACGGAGAACAGATAAGCAATATTGCTTCATCTTCTCATCCTCTTTTGATCTCCAAAATTTTCATCCCAAATATTTTCTAGAACATATGAACGATTCATTTTACTCTAACTATATTGTGTTTATATATTTCAAGTAAAGCACGAATTAATTAATACAACATTGGATAATAAAAATGTATGCAATACATCTGCTTCATTATAATAGTAATGATATTTCACAGTTGTTTTATTAGTATGAATTATGATTATGGTTAGATTTGATATAATGGAAGAAACAATTAGCAAAAAAGGTAAATTTGCAAATTTCATATTTTAGCACTTAAAACAGTCAGTAATTAAAAAGATATAACGAAAAATATTCTTTTCCTTTCCTAATGCAATTACGATAAAGAAAGAAAAAGAAAACGTAATTTTTGAAAATTTTTGTTTTATTTTTCATTTTTTTTTGTGTTGTGTAATATTTTGATTAATTCTAATGATCAAGCATTCAGCGCTTTTTAAATCTCTCGTCAAATCGTTATGGTTTCAAATATCTGGTAAAAATTTGATTAAAAATTCAGGAAAATGATTGGTTAAAAATTGTTGGTTGAATTTAGGCGCATGATTTTGAAGAGTAAAATTAACGAAGTTTAGCAATTGCCTGATAGCACTCAGCAATTCTCATCGATTGAGTATTGAGGCTGAACGCAAAAAAAAAGAAAACATTCACATACTGTTTGAGGTCAGTAAAAATTTTCTAACAATTAATTATAGAAGTTGAATGTAAGGGGAAAAAAAATTAAAAAGTATGGTTTTTTTTTGCATAAAGTTGAATTGATATAATTTTTTTCTTTCTTTTTTTTACAACAAACAATGTAATCATCTAATCGGATAGATAAAAGCAAATACTTAAGCAGTCGTTCACCGATCGAACTGTTTTGGTAGAACTGATCGATAGATTTGATACATTTTCGTATAAAATTACCCCAACATTACAAATTGGAATGTGTTGTAATATTTGCAGAGGCTCTGACATTTTTGGTGTGATAACAGCTCTTATATTATTACACTAAAACAAAATCGAGAATCTTTGTAAATCTCCACTTTTTATCAAAAAAATTTGTTGCGATCAATTATTAGTGAAAATTTATCCATTACATCATAATGTGAAAAATATTCGGAAATATTAGGAAATATTTAAATCCTTGGAAATTTCCTTTTTAAATCAAAAGAATTTCTGAAATGATACGATCATATGTTATTACGATGGAGGTCAGATGTATTCGAGAATCGAACACTACTAAATAAAATGTTCTGTACATATATTACATTCAAAAAATTTGAAACTCTTGAAGAAAAAATATTGGGAATTTATATCTAAAATTTTTTTAGTATTATCTGATGAAGTTTAAGATAATATATTGCTTGTAAATTTTTATCGAAATCCTAAAATATTTCAGAAATTGCATTAATGTTATTTATCAGCTTAATCATTAATATGTACTTTTCTTTTTTTGTTTTTGATTTTTTTTTAAGTACACTCTGCTCTTTTTTTTTCACTTTTTTTTGAAATGTTTGTGAAAATTTTTTGCGTAGAAAAAAAAAATTTATCCCAACATTTTTTTTTCAGAAATTCATTGCTATGGGCAACTGTGTGAGTCAAGCAGGTCAAAGAGAATTTTTGAAAAATTTTCAAAATGCAGCAAGTAGAGGTGAAACAAGAGTTGGAGGAGCTTTTATGAGTGATGATCCAGAAGCTTTTCAAGTATTTGTCAAGAAAAGAAACAAATTTATTCCAGGTAATGTTGTCACTCATTTATTCATTAACTCTACTTCTTTTTGTTTGCTTACTTTTCTTAAAAAAAACAAAAAAAAAGGCAAAAATAAAATTATTTCATCCACAACCGTTTCGACCGTTTCTGTTGTTTTATGATTAATCTTTGAAACTTTCGTGGTTTATCATTATTTTAAACTATCTTATCAAATTTATATTTCAATATCTATTTAACATCTATTTGATAAGAGTGAAAAATTTTTATTATATAATCAAACAAAGGCTAAAACATTTCCATACGTAATGGTTACATTAATGAAAAGAGGTTTGGAATTGGTAAAGAAAAAAAAATTTGAAAATTCTTTTTTTAATCCTCGGCAAGAGATGGGATTTAAAATACACTAAAAGATATAAATCATATTTTATTGTTTGTGCAACACCAAAGTAAGTTGTTTTGAAAAATATTTTTAAAGCAATTAAACAAAATTTTTTAACGAATAGTCCAATCTCTCAGTTCAATTTTGACGTATATTCTCAATGATTTATGAATTTTTTTTTTCAAAAAAAAAGTTCATCTGAGTCATAAACGAAGTATTCTTTAGAATGAAACTTTTTTTTTGGTCTTTCTCTATTATTTTGTTTTCCGTTTCCTCTCGATTATTTCCTCTTCCGGATCAAAAAGCAATGAGCTTTTCATCTTTTCCTATTTAGCTCTGCCTAACAAATTCAATCATTTTTTTTTAGGAACATTAAAAGTGACCGAAAATGAGATTGTTTTTATTCGTTCACGATGTGAAACGTTAAATTGGCCATTACATTTTTTGCGTCGTTATGGTTTTACATCGGCTGGAATTTTCTTTTTCGAAAGTGGGCGACGGTATGTAAATTTTTATTTTGTTAACTAAATTTCTTTTCTTTATTTATTACTCCGATTAATTTATAAAAATAGATTTAATCAAATTAATAATCCTTTCCACAGATAATATTTTAATGTATGTAAGCTAAAATATTACCTGAAATTCTGTATCCATATTCTTGCTTAATCTTTTTTAATATTTTTGATAAATTTCTGATAAAGAGATTTTATCTTCTGAAATTTCAGAAAAAAAAAATTATCTGTATTATTATCTATAATTTAAATCGTATAATCAATATTAGATCAAATAAAATCAATTTCGTTATTAATCTCTAAATGCGTTTACTAATTTCAATAAAAGAAAGAGGATGAAGAGTAGAGGGAATGATAGAAGTTCAAGGGAAAATGATGGCTCGCTTGAAATCTGAAACCTACCTAAATAGTTCGTTGTAGGAATAGCTATTCCATTCAAGTTTTAAAAAAAAAGTTCAGGAGTAGCTAATTTATTTCAAACTAATAGATATTTTTGTGAAATTAAAATTTGTCTACAAAATGCATAAGCTTATAAAAAAAAATTGCTCGGAAAATTGGCGCAAAAGTACATATGCATAAATAGTTTATTGTATAAGAGGATGGAACAGAATTTTTTCATCTTTAATTATGAATAACTGATAATTGACTAAGAGATAAAAAATGGTATGATCTAAGTTTCTGAAGACATGAATTAAATAATAGTGTGAATAATGAAAATAGAAATGAAGGCTGATTAATTTAATTAATTTTTTCTTATATCGATAATTAGCTTTGTATAGGATTTTTAGTTATCTCTCAAATGAAATTGAAATCAGTCAATCTAATGGACAAAATATTTGATGTCGAGAGTAAGTTCTTTTAAATGGACATGCATTGGATCATGTTCGATAAGCAATAAAAAAAAAGCTTTAAACATGTCAGAAAATATGGCGATTATCAAAAAGTCCAATTTCGACATCTGTATTATAATTATTTTTTCAGATGTAGTAGCGGTGAAGGCCTTCATACGTTTCAGTCACATCAAGCTGAAGCTATTTTTCAGGTAGGTACTTTTATTGAAATTTTAAATTTTGGAAACTTACTCTGAATTTAGTTTTAATTGAAATTTGAGGGAAATTTAAAATTTGAAAAATCTTCAAAAAAAAAGAGAAATATTTTTCATAATACATTCATGTCTAGCTCGTACAATCACGCATCCAAGATAATGCAAATATGGGTATAGCAATACGTGAAGCTCGTGCGCAATCAGTTACGGGAAGCTATCATAGTGTTCATAACATTCCATCCAGCTATGCTGGTACACGCATCCAACCAATACAACGATATTCAAGTGAAGGTAACAAAGTTTTTCAACAAATTTTTGAAAATTTTTTGAATTGTTCAATTTGACACTACAATTTCTTAATTTTTTTTTGCTTAAATTAATAGTTCTATTTCTATTTTTAGTTGAAATAAATGAAGGGAAAAAATGATTATTGTTAGTTGGAGTATTGCTAAATTCCAGTTC